GATTAAAGATCTCTCCAAGCCCATTGTTTCTCATTTCACCTCTGACGGCCACGACCACTCTAATCTCTCCGTCTGTGTTCTCAAAGACGGTTATGCAGTACATCAGAAAGACTACCAAAACCAAAATTATTCTGCAGCTAGGATCACACCTTCTCCCTTCCCTTAACGACAGACTACTGTTCTTTTAAATTTTCTCCATTCATTGGAGGTTTCATTTCACACCTCTCTACACCTATTCTGGCTTCACACCTCTTGATTGGCCTCTCTTTCTGTCCCCTGCTCCCGCATCTCCTCCTCCCTCCCAGCCTTTGTTCTCCTGCTACTTTACCTTTGCCTACTGTCTTGTCTCTCTCACAACTGAAACGTTGTGTTCTCTTTCTTCTTTTTTTTTTCAGCATGGAATAAACCTATTACTTGTTCCTTTGCAGCCTACGCATGCTGACGCAGCTCCCCACCTGAACTAACCTCTATAAGTCTGATAACAAAAATATTGCACTGATCATGCTCCACGAGACCTGACCAAGCTAATAACTAGCAGCTCAGTTATCTAACGGCTCACTAAACTCACCTCAACATGTCTTTTGCCACCACTGTAACCATCGACAGCTATGGAAAAATTGCTGTTACAGATAGCGCAGCGAGCTCATGTAACATTGTTTTTTACAGGTATAAGGCAAGAGGTAAACCTTTGTGAAGACGGATGGGGAAACAGGATTTGTATTTTTTCTTTTTTGGTTGCCCCTCTATGCCGTTGTGTTACGCGAACATTGGAAAAGGAAAGGGGCAGGGGTGCTTGCGCGCAGACAGCGACATTACGCACAGCAAATCACTGGAGACCTCCGATTCTCCCGCCACACCTTCCCACTGCCTGGACTGAACCCACCAGAACCGGACTTATCACACAGCCTGGAAAAGGACCCCGCAAATCAACATCTGCCCTCTCGCCCGCTGTCTCCTCGTCATCCTCCTGCCTCTCTGGATAGCGTCCAGGGTGAGAAACTAGAGTATCCGTCTAGTAGAAGCAGCCTGAGAGTCAGGCTGGTGAGTTGTTATTTGTTTTTATTAGATGTTATAATACGTCTGTTATACTTAGACAAAATTTAAATTATCCGTCTACTTATCTATTATGACTTTTGCTGGTAGCAAGAGTGGTGTTAGTGATGTTTATTTGTGTATTTCTCCGTTACTATGACTTCAGTTCTATGATGTCATGGTTCCTCGTGCAATCAAAATGCTTCATTTAGTATTGAGTGAAGACGTCATATCAGTGACCTTGACAACAAAGAAGTCAACTATTAATCTGAAAATAATACTTGAAATAATAACAAAACGAAATATAGTAGTAGTAGTAATATATATAGAAAATATAGTAGTCTTTTTTAGTAAAACAAATGCAGGTATATATTAATAGTGTTTAAAAAACCATGAAAACAGATCCAGGTAATCTCTTTATAGATTGGACAGTTCTTTCTCCATTTCTCTTCACCCTCTATACTTCGGACTTTAAGTACAACTCAAAGTCATGCCACCTGCAAAAGTTCTCAGATGACTCTGCAATTGTGGGATGTATCAAGGGTGAGCAGGAGGAGGAGTACAGAGGACTGGTCAGCAGCTTTGTGGAGTGGTGTGGGGTGAACCACTTGGAACTGAATGTTACAAAGACAAAGGAACTGGTGGTAGATTTCAGGAGGAAAAAGGTCAAACCTACTCCTGTCTACATCCATGGGAGTGGCGTGGAGATGGTGGACTCGTACAAGTACCTGGGAGTGCACATCGACGATAGACTGGAATGGTCTAAGATCATCGAGGCCATCTATAAGAAGGGACAGAGCCGACTTTACTTCTTGAGGAGGCTCAGGTCCTTCAATGTGTGTAGTAAGATGCTACACATGTTTTATCAGTCGGTGGTAGCGAGTTCCATTTTCTACGCAGTGGTGTGCTGGGGCTCTGGGATTAGAGCAGTAGATTCCAAAAGGCTGAACAAGCTCATCAGGAGAGCAAGCTCTGTCATTGCCTGGAGGTAGTGGTTGAGAGGAGAATGATGTCAAAACTAGAGGCCATCATGGACAACTTCTCCCATCCCCTCTATGACAGGCTTGCAGGAATGAAGAGCACGTTCAGCAATAGACTGATTCATCCACGGTGCGACAGGGAGCGCTACAGGAGGTCATTCTTTCCGTCTGCCATAAGACTGTACAACGCATCCACCTTGCGTCTTGGCAGAGGCAACATCGACAGTGACCTGTTTCTGGACTAAACGCATTTACACATCTACTGCTACATCTGTTCTATTTCTTTTTCTTTTTCCCGTTTATAACCACTTTTGTGCAATATATGCCAGGGACCTGTGCAATACATTTATATTTATATTTATATCTATGGTTACATCTATATTTGTATTCATATGTGTGATACGATTTTCTGTGTACTGTTCTGTTCTAGTTTGCTCTTGTGTGTCCGGACTGTGAGTAACTCTTGTATTGTATTGTATGTATTGTACTATTATTATATAATTCGTTACACTGTGGCTGTGTTGTGTGTGTTAAGCTGCGTTTGCACTGCAATTTCCCTCACGGGATAAATAAAGTATCTATCTATCTTTAGCATAACTTTAAAAATAGGTTGTTAATAATATTTCAGAATGTTTCATATCCTGTAGAACTGTTTAAAAATAAATGTTTTATTCTCACAAGTCATCTGTTAGTATCATAAAACCCCTGAAAGGTTCTAAAAAATCTGGAGCTCACCTCAGTTATATTTATAATTATTATTTATTTTGTTATGTTTGTATTATTAGAGACCTATTTTCCAGTCCTACATTACATTTGTCACCTGAATTGCCTCTGTCTCTTCTCTCCTCCCTCCGCCTCACCTGACTCACCCCTCCCAGACCCCACGCTGTTCAGGAACGGCCCCCAGCTCTGTCCCAAGGAGTTCTGGGAGCCGGAGGGGGAGAATGCGGAGCCCGGTCCCAGTGGGCTTCTCAAGGAGAGCAGTGCAGCGTGGGAAGGAGGAGCAAGACAGGCTGAACATGGAGCTGGAAGGACTGAGGCTTGGACTTCCTGTGGGACGAGGACAACAGCAATATACATTTAATATTAATGATTGAAGACATTGGGGGAAAAATGAATTAATTATAGAAACTTTTTCTTTACATTTTTTCTGCAATTCTAATAGCAGAAGGTCTGCTGACTGTATTTGCTTGGTTCTGTAGAGAAGCTCTTCAGTTTCAGATCTGCTACAACAGGATGCTCTGACCACATCTATTTACTGTAAGTCCTAGAGAGTGGTTGCAGTTTTTATATGTGCTGTCAAAGTAACTTTTACAACTTTTTAGAGTATTTTACAATATGTAAAACAACTAGCAGGTCTTCTACATACAGAAAGTTTTCTTATCCTCTGGACTATTTAGATAAATATTAAGCACAGTATTTTTTTGAAGAAACTTTGAAGATTTTATTTAAGACGTAGAAAAATAAGTAACATAAAAAAATTGAAATTACATAGAAACACCAAAAAACAAAGAAAAGACACAAAAAGGAAAAACCAGTCAGAGAAAGTAAAAACAGCTCAAACTTAAGTTTAAGCCTTTTTAAAGTTTTCTCACTGAAATAAGAGTCGAATTCTAGCATATAAGTAATCACAGAATGTTTGAGTGTGGAAAACAGGCAGGGATCTGTTAAAAAACTAATTTTTTGACACATTCAAGACCCTAAGGAATCGCCCCACAGTGCCTGTCCTATAGAAACATATCTTCTTCATAGTGGAGATCATCTCACTGAACCAGCTCTTGAAACAGGGTCCAGTGACACATTTCTTTAAGAATAGGTTTTTTGTTTTGGCCACAACCATTCAGAACTGTAGTGCTGCTTGTTCTTGCTTTGCTAGTCTGAGAGTTGACTCTAAAAAACAGAAGAGAAAGAATTCAGGATCTGGGGGTGCATTGTTCCCAAACAGTTTTGAGGACCACTGAAACATTTCTACCCAACTTTATATAACCGGGGACACAACCAGAAGAGGTGTGAGAGAGTGCCTTCAGAAGACTTATACCTGTCACATAAAGCAATAACTGAAGGGTATATCGTGTTCAATTTAGTTGTAGAGTGATGAAGTTACCTTGTATTGTATGATCTGGTGTCTAACATTAATAGACCACTGGTGAATGTTGCTCAAACCCTCTTCCCAAACCTCATTAGGAATTTCAATATTGAGGTCCTTACATCCAACATCTTTCAGGTGATTTAGTGACACCTCTGTGTGCCTAGAAACAGAGGAAACTGTGATATGAAATGTCCAGAGTTGAGAGGCTGTTGCAATAGAAACGATGTAACTTTAAAATTATATCAGTACAAGATGGTGCAGTCAGGCAGTCAGAAAAGTTGTGATTTTCCTCCCTAAATAATGTTTAACATGTTGCCAAGCTGGTTATTGTAGTCTTTTTGCGTGCAGTCCATGAATGCCAACCACATCATATTTAGCCACAAATAAGAAAAAAGTAAATTGGGTGATGCAAGAGGTGAATATCCCAGAATCAATAGATGATACTTCTGATGAAGCACAGCCAGAATGCTGTATATGTGTAGCCTAATAAGAAGGTACCAGCAATGGCTAGCTGGCACAGTTAAAAAATAACTGTGTTCATACAGCACTCCACATCTCCTTGCACTTAACACACAGTGGAAAAGGGGACTCACTGCACAGAGCAGGTCATTAAGCACCAATAACCCTAATATGCAGCAGAACAATTGCAGGAATTGCTTCACCAGTTGAATTAAAGGGAAACTTTAGAGAGGTCAGACTGTACAGGACCAGAATGGAATTTATCTAGGACATCAGGGTTAAACAGCCATGGGATCCTTGATGATCTTGAATGCTTGATTTAGTATCTGATCTAAGCATGATAAATCTTACAGTACAATGTCCATGGTAAAATAATTGATCTGGAAATTCTGGTACAGAGGGTAAAGTGATCCAATTGAGGATATCTGGGGTTATATAAGAATGTATAGTGTTAGACATCAAATAAATACGTTATACTCTTCTGATAAATTAAGGAATATTCAACAGGCTTATAGGTTTAAGGACTTAAGAACCTGAGAATGTTGGAAGTAAGAAAAAGTTATTACACCCCTTGTGCTTGGATACTTGCTAAGTAGCTTATTGATCTGAGAGTCTCATCCCTTGAACAGAATCAGCTTTAGCAATGTGACAGCTTGTTCCAGACACCCACCTCCCTTTGTGAAAAGACGGATCTCCTGTTCTCATCCCTAAATGCACTTCCTTGTAATATCCAGTTGTCCTCCTTCTGTGGAACATATAACAGCTTCTACGTTTACAGATAATTGGCATTACGTCAACATAGAATAGAACAGAGTAGAATAGAATCTTTATTGTCACACGGAAATTGTTGCTGGTACGAGAGACCGTACACAATACAGAACACAAAAACTCACTCTATAATCGAATATGCAAAACATGCTGAGTTGATGTAAACATAGACAAATAGAAAAATGTAAACGTAGACAAATCAGTGCAATTGAAATGTGATACAGGTCATAAAGCACAATACTAAGTTTTTGAAGGCTGGGGACACGTTACTTGTTGAGCAGCCTAACAGCAGTCAGGAAGAAGTATCTTGAAATGTGAAGTTTTGGCTGTCAGTGATCTGAACCGTCTACCTGAGGGGAGCAGCTGAAATAAGTCGTGTGCAGGGTGAGATGGATCCGCAATAATCTTGTTAGTGCGTATGGTGGTACGTTGGGTGTACAAGGATTCAAGTGAGGAGAGAGCAGTGCCAGTGATCTTAGAGGGCTAGGGGTTAGCTGCAGGTCTCTCAGCGTGCGTAGAGTAAGGCTGGACAACAGGTATTACTGTTGAGCCTCATCTCAACCTCTCCTCCACTATAACTGAATCCCAGAAGATCCACCAATGGCCCAGGCTCTGCCTTTGTCATCTTCTTTTCTGCTACCCAACACAAACTATTACACAAAATACTAATCTGACCTCTAAAACACTACTATATACACTTATTTTTCAATTGAGATTTTATGGTCTATGGACAATAAGATTAATGCAGAATTGTTTTTTATTATATTTCAGCTATTATTTCGGTGCTCGAAAAGAAATCCAACAGACTCATTCTTTTGCTATTTGGGACCATATGAAGTAATTCTTCCTCAAATCTCAGGTATTTTCTACTGCGGGGCAATATTTCTCTACAAATTGTGATGGTGCTCATCACACAGCCTTCACGTGTCTTTCATTAATCCAGAGGGACACAGAAAATAGCACTTATGTGAGGAATTAAAGTCAGTAGCCAATACTAGATTAATCATTTAAAAGAATGAAAACCACAATAGTGGAAATATGCATCTTTTTATATAACTTAATTTGTTACCCTTTATTGTTTATAAATTATATCAATATGTACTACTTAATTATTGTAGTTTAGGATACAGGGTCATTCCCAGCTGTGACAATTCATTAATAATTAGTTACTTATTACAAGGAAAGGAGGCAGCAACTACAGTACTTTCTATGCATATTAAAGAGATAATGATCAAAGTTCTGATGACAAATTTCCCGGACAAAATACAGCTGCAACTGGGTATTCTGGAAACTAAGGACTGAGTGCAGAAAAAAGATTACAGAGAGTTTGTACTTTGTTTTTGCATTGTGTTTCGGGAAAGCAAAATGATCTCTCGAATAAAGATCTCTTGAAGAAAAGCTACTGTGCACAGTACTGGATAAGAGAAGACATTAGCTGAAATGAGCTCTGTGGCTGAGCCAGGAGTGAGAGCCGAGGAAAATCGTCCTTGTGTACAGAAAGAGAACTTGAATAGAGTAAGTGAACTAGACCAATCCACAAATATAATCAACATACAGTCTCTCTCGAATGAGCAATACTCACATCATCCCAAGAGCCATTTCACTTCCAAAACCCACGGAGAAAATGAACAAGAGAAAAATCCTTATTTTCTTTGAGAAAATATGGACGTATTATAACAATAACTTAGTACAAGGTTCTATGTGAGGAGTTCATTAAAATTTGGTTTCAACTCCTAACAAACCAAAATGAGATTTGTCATTGGTATGAACATTGTGTTAATTCAAGAGTTTCAGGGCTTTATTCATGTGTACAAGCTCAGAAATAACATTGACTCACCATGGTAGTTGTCTGATACAGTGTCATTCACACCCACGTCTGTTCATCTTTAACTGGTCACCCATTAAGAGCTAATTAGTCCGAAAAAAGGAAGCAAAATCTTTTTCTTCGTCTTAACATTCACGGTGCTGATAGCTTTTGGAAATAATGTGTTTACAGTAGTTTTTAAACTAAGGACTGAGAGCAGTAAAAGTCACCAGGTAGAGTCACCAGTTAACACTGGTGATTAAAATACCAGCAGGAACAAAGACCAGCAGACACCAGACCTTCAGGACTAGGACTAGGACTAGGACAGAGAGCCACTGGTCTAGCCAACAGATCCTAATTGAGAAATGGAATACAATTGGGCTGCAAATATTTCATAAACATACTGTATGACATGCATAGCATGTACTGTTGATTTTATACACGATATGCATGTCATAAGTTATAAAAAGGTTCTTAAGTTTTATGCTGTGCTTCTGACAAAATCTGTTTTTACCGTTACTAAAGACTAGGCAGGGCAAATATTTCTGGGACAAGTGTGCATTTCCGACCAAGAACAGTGAGGTTTCAGAGAAGGAACGTCCTGGACTCGTCCCACACAGGCTGCTGTTACGATCGCACTCCTCAGCCTGACATTCAACAGAGACCTCCTCTGATCTCCAGGTTCACAGCATTGTCGTGGTCATCATTCTCCCAGGTTACGCTCTTGGCTCTCTTCCCAGCAGCTGTAGAGCAGCAATAGCTGTTGAGCCTTATCTCCACAACCTCTGCTCCACTGTAGCTGGATCCCAGAAGGTCTGGTGACAGCTGCCTTTTCCCTGCCTTTGTCATCTGCTCCCATGGAGAATGGCGCCTGAACTATTTTCACATCAGGTGATTAGAAGAAGACCAGATATTGGAGACCTAGTAGTAGTAGTAGTAGTAGTAGTATGTGCTGGAAAAGAAACCCAACAAGACTCTTATGGGATGCATTTTTTGCAATTTGGAACCATATTGTGTTACTACTATTCAAATCTCAGGTATTTTCTACTGCAGGGGACAATTCCTCCACAAATTGAGAGAGTGTACATCACACAGCCTTCACATGTCTTTCACTAATTCAGAGGGACACAGAAGAAATTTAAGAGAAAATAGCACCTATGTGCGGAATTAAAGTCAGTAGCCAATCCTAGATTAATAATTTTAAAACGGGAAAACACAATTATCAGTAACATGGATTTTTTGTATAACTTAATTTGTAACCCTTAATTGCTTTTTAATTATTCTAAAATATACTACTTAGGTCTTGTAGTTTAGATACAGGGTTGCTCCCAGCTTTCTCAGTACATCATTAATTGGTCACCTATTACAAGGACAGAAGGCAGCAACCATTCATAAGCAGATTGGAGAGAGAATGATCAAAGTTCTGTTTGATAAATTTCCTGGGCAAAAGACAGCTGCATCTGGGTATTTCTGAAACTAAGGACTGACTGCAGAAAAAGGATTACAAAGTGCTAATCAAACACGCAGGTCAAATCTCGAAATTACTCACAGTAATTCAGAAATTAATTGGAATTGAAATCAGACACCAAAGGAGTCATCCTGGACCCAGGCTGAGAACCAGATTCTGCAGGAAGAGAGGCTGCTGCTTCTGTTGCTGGTAATTGTTTTTTTATTTTTTATCTGGTGCTACTCAAATTCATTTTAGTGTTTAAGAGTTACTTAATTCCCAGTGCTGTGTTCTGTTGCTCACTGTAGTCGAGCTGAGCCTTGAGAGGATCTAAGCTGGAGTCACAATCGGGTATCCCAGAGGCTGTTATTCAAATAAGCAGTATAGGCCGCCGAAGCCTAATCCCCCCCCCAATAACAGAGATAAGAGACTGCAGAAAAATAATTGTTATAATTGGTACTTTGTTTCCAAAATAGCAATTGTATTGAGAAGCTACGTGAAAAATGCATTCTCATGTGAAAACTATACGTATTAGAAGCTGTGGTTTTGCTTTTGCACATAGCGAATGCTTTGATAGGCTGATAAGTTTATAAGCTGACAGGATGTGGGAAAAATGTGTAATGCTTTAATGGCTCATTTTAGAAAAGTTAGTCAAGTTACATTATTGCCACAATTCTTGTTTATTTAATCGAAAAAACACTGCACAAATATCCTAGTGATATGTCTCTTCAGCAATTCACTCTGTCCGACAAGCTGAACCATTTCTGTACCCGCTTTGATGCTTCGAACACAGACACTGCTGAGAAGACCCCAAGTGTACAGGGCGAGTTTGTTCTGAAACTCTCAGAGCAGGACGTACAGAGCCTGATGGGATACCACCCCACGTCCTTAGGACATGTGCAGCCCAGCTGACCACAGTGTTTACAGACAACCCACTATTGTTCTACTCCCCAAAAAGGCTAGAGTGACGTGCCTGAATGATTACCGCCCAGTAGCATTAACATCTGTGGTGATGAAATGCCCGGAGAAGCTGGTGTTGTCACACATCAACTCCTCCATAACAGAGTCCCTGGACCCTTTGTAGTTTGCCTACCAGAACAACAAATCAGTGGATGATGCTGTCTCCCTAGATCTACATACAGCCTTGGAACACCTGGACACTAAGGATTCATATGTGAGAATGCTGTTTGTGGACTACAGTTCAGCATTCAATTCCATCATACTTAGCCAACTGGTGACAAAGCACAGGGGATTAGGACTGTGCAACTCTGTCTGCAACTGGCTGCTGGACTTTCTTATCGAGAGACCAAAGGTGGTGCAGATAGGTAATAAAACATCAACACCACTCACCCTGAGCACTGGAACCCCACAAGACTGCTGTCTTGAGTCCAAGGTTGTACTCCCTATTCACTCACAACTGCAAAGCAAGACACGGAAACAACCGCATCATTAAATTTGCGGATAACACCACTATAATAGGCTTGATCAGCGATGATGACGAGTCCACTTACAGGAATGAAGTCGTACAGCTACTGAGGTAGTGTCATAGCAATAACCTGGACTTGAACGTAAATAAAACAAAAGAGCTAAAAGTGGACTTTTGGAGACACAGGCAATACACTCACAGCCTACTCAGTATTGATAGAACAGAAGTGGAAACAGTCACCAGCTTTGGGTTTTTGGGAATTCACATTTCTAATGATCTAACCTGGACTGTGAACACGGACTCTATCTTAAAGAAGGCTCAGCAGCGCCTTTATTTCCTGAGGTGCCTCAAGCGATGGGGGATGCCAGTACCTGAGTTGGTGAAGTACCACTGCACCATCGAGAGCATCCTCACCAATGGGATCACCCTGTGGTGTGACAACACCTCTTCTCGAGAGAGGAAGGCACTGCAGAGAATGGTCAATATGGCCCAGAAGATCATCGGCTGTGGTCTCACCGAGATTAAACAGCTCTAAGAGGACCACTGATGTGGTAGAATTCTGGCCATCACAGAGGACAGTCACCACCCCGGGCATGAGCTCTCCACCCCATTGCCCTCAGGCAAGAGATACAAGAGCATACAGACACTTACCACCAGATTCCTCAATAGCTTCTAACCACAAGCACTGTGATTGGCTAACACATTTGGCCATGCCCCTCAGACCACACCTACACCATCTACCTCATTATGATTTCTTATTTATTCCACATCTCCAGTCATTGTTTACATTCAAACTGTTTACTTGCTAACTTGTACATTGTCTACTGTTTGTTTGTATATTGTCTTGATGCACTGTCTGCACTTTGTGTTTTTACACTTTTTTAACAATCAA